AAAGAGAGGTTGAGTAAGGGGGGCGGAGCTTGAAGAGCGAAGCGAGCCGCGCTAGCCTATTACGTTTTTTAGCAGCAAGCTACGGTCTAACGACCCCCTAGTAGGTTGGGGCGAAAACTCTAAAACTAGGGTTCCAAACCTTTCTCTACGAATAAGAAGGTAAGCTTTCAAGCCTTTCTTTACTTTATAGTAAAGAAAGCGCAGTGGACTGTAATTGTGAAAAGATTGGAAGATCGGCCAAAGAAGGTGATAGCCACTGTAGATTCGTTCCCATGGGTCGATCCTTCCCAGTAAAACACGGCGTGTTCGAATTCGATCGCTTTACGCGAGAAAGGGGACAACCCTCTAAGCCTAAGTATTCCTCAATGACCGATAGCGTACAAGTACCGTGAGGGAAGGGTGAAAAGAACCCTATTTAGGGAGTGCAATAGAGAACCCGAGATCGATGCGAACAATCGGTCGAAGGAGCGGAGCTTAGAGCCTTTACTTTCTATTAGTAAAGCGCACTCACTCTAACGACGTACCTTTTGCATAATGGGTCAGCGAGGAAATGGGAGGAGCGGCTTAAGCCATTAGGTGTAGGCGCTTTCCAGAGGTTATTTCTTCTAGTTCTTCCTATTTGACCCGAAACCGATCGATCTAGCCATGAGCAGGTTGAAGAGAGCTCTAACAGGCCTTGGAGGACCGAACCCACGTATGTGGCAAAATATGGGGATGACTTGTGGCTAGGGGTGAAAGGCCAACCAAGATCGGATATAGCTGGTTTTCCGCGAAATCTATTTCAGTAGAGCGTATGATGTCGATGGCCCGAGGTAGAGCACTCAATGGGCTAGGGTGGCCCCATTTCGCCTTACCAACCCCAAGGAAACTCCAAATACAAGCCTAGATTGTTTGTACAGACAGACTTTTTGGGTGCTAAGATCCAAAGTCGAGAGGGAAACAGCCCAGATCGTACACTAAGGTCCCTAAGCAATCACTTAGTGGAAAAGGAAGTGATCGAGCGATGACAACCAGGAGGTGGGCTTGGAAGCAGCCATCCTTTGAAGAAAGCGTAATAGCTCACTGGTCTAGCTCCATGGCACCGAAAATGTATCAGGGCTCAAGTGATTCACCGAAGCGACGAGACCTTGAAAGTTGCTTTTTCAAGTGTCAGTAGCGGAACGTTCTTCAATCGGGAAGGTTTTGGTGACAAGACCTGGAGATATCGAAGTGAGAATGCCGACATGAGTAACGAGAAATCCTGTGAAAACACGATCGCCGCCGGTGGAAGGTTTCTGCGTTCACCAATCTACGCAGAGTGAATCGGTCCCTAAGGAACCCCGAAAGGGCTGCCGTCCGATGGGTACACGAAAGTGACGAAGTTGCTTTGACTACAGAACCATACCTGTCTGTTGGAGCGAATTGGATGATCGGGCCGAGGGCTGCCCCTCTTCCCCTCACTTTCCTTTCCCTAATATGAACCTTGAGTCATCAAAGCCTTTCGACTCGGCCTGGCCCGGTCGCCCTACGCGACTGGCCCTTCAAAAGGCGAAACTCTCGTCGTAGTTTGGCGACCTATCTTCAGTAGGGGCCTTTAGTCTTTTGATTAGAGTAGGGGTCGCGAGAGAGCAGAGCCTGCTCATAGTCAATTTCCACAACCCAGAGCCCAAGAACATCTCTGATGGCAGCATGGATCAGCGTGCCTCTCTTGAACATAAACAACATTTCTGATGAGAATTTACAAACCTACATTCCCATCATTGAAGAAAATAGTACACCTTCGAGTTCAAAGCCTTTTACAAGATCTGATAGGAATCTCGTAGACGAAGCAAATTTCGTTAATGCAACCATCAAAAAGAAAGTACGAAGATAATTTTGTCTATCTCGTGAAACTCAAAAGAGTGCGGAAAATTCACAGTAAGACGATCGTTTATCTAAGTAATTCTATCTCTTAACTCAAACCAAGCAAAGAACACATTATCCATGAAAGATTCAAATTAAACAACAACCCACGCTAAGAATAGCAAGGACACCATTCAATATACTCGATCAATCATCTATCAAGAGACTCAAGAAAGGTAGGAGCAAACAATGCCCAACTATGAAGGAATACTATTAATTAGTAATCTTCATAACCAACCAAAGATATGCAACACATACACTAACTCATCCAACAAAAGTAGGACAAACCCCACAATGGATCTCATGAACACACTCATCATGAAATTTGAACACCAAGCCAAAGGAAAGGCTCATCAATCGAACTACTAGAAGTAGTATGAAAATAAGAAGTTTAGTTTTAAAACAATTCTATCAAGAAGCATACTTGAAAAAGAACGGTTTCTGCAAGATCAAAAAGATCCAAGACAAGATGAAAACCCTCTTGGTTTAATCATACTTGACACGAAAAATGGACACTCCATTAAAAAAAATTCCTCACAGGAAAAACTCTCAAAAGAGACAACAAAAATGACCACTCAAGGGTGCTTAAGAAATTCGGCCAAGCCTCCTATTTATAGGCTTAGAATTTTCGGCCAGCACCACTAAAAAGAAGACCAATTAGGACTCTCTAATCTTATCTCACAAGGAGTAAAAGTAGAAGAGTACTTGATCTCTTTGACTCTATCTAAAATCTAGGAAACCTTATCTAAATGACTTATCCTCAAGTAGGATAATATCTAGAAGGAATCTAAGACTCCTAATCAAAACACTCTAGTTTAATTCAGTCCACATGACTTATTTAACTAGATAAAAATTCGAAAATTGACTCCTAGACTTAGACTAACTCTAATCTCGAAATTCAGCTCCAAATTGTTGAAGTAAAATGTCTTCAACGCCCTTCCAAAAGTGGAATATTGGTCTTGCGCCCCTTAAGCTGTAGAAAATTCTAATTTACTCCAAAACTTGTAGAATTCTCTTTAATGACTCCAAAAGATTGGAAAACACTTGAAACAATTAAGATAGTTTGCAACCTATCCAATTGTGTAGCAATGGACTTAATCTTAAACACTTTGATCAAATAGGCCGTCCACTCAAGAACCTAAATGACTCTTCTCACTAGCTTGATCAATGATCTTCATGGAGCACACAGAGTCAAATTCTCTTGATACTCTTTACACTTATTTCCATGAGGTCTTCATCTCCTTTGGTTTGAACCCCAAAGTTAATGACATTCTCATCACCTTGATCATAGTTCTCTTGAACCAACTCCCTATCACATAGGTAGTCAAGATCCATCCTTTCTTCCTTGATTGGTTTGCAAAGTAAACTTGGCATTCCAATACTAGAATGAAGGACTAGCTCATTCCCCTCACTAGGAGAACCTCCATGGAAGGCTACATGATTCTCATCAAGATCACAAGCTAGGAAGCTCAAGGCAAATGTGGCAACACTCCTCAACCTCACAATGCACCATGAAGAAGCAAAGATGGAGGCAACACCTCAATGGGTCAATTTCCTCCATTTCTGCCCAAGAAGAAGTTAACCAATTTTGAGCAGATTTAGGCCAATTCATATCACTCCTTTTTGGCCATCTTTTTCAACCATCTTTAAGGTATTTTGGAGCCTTACAATCTGGTCTAAATTCATTAAAATTTCGGCCAAACCCTCAACAATAAAAGGTGGCCAGATTTGAAGGGTAAAAGCAAGTCATGGTGTAATCCAAGTGGAGCCACTTTTGTTGACAACTCATGGTCCAACTTTGCAGCCATCTTTGACCATGTTTTGAAGACTTAAAGGTGAAGAAATCCTAGGTAAATGATAGCTGCACCAGCTCCCATAGTCAACTACAAAACAAGGAACCATCTTAGCATTACTTTTTATATTTTATTAAGCAAGTTGTCTAGTTCTTTTGTCCTTTAAACTCAAAAAAAAGAAACAACCATTTTGGGTAGTTTTTGAAGTCATTGTTCATGTATAAACCCTTGAGAGGAAGACCCTTTTAGAATTCTAAGCTTCTTCAAGTTTGGTAGCATAGCACGGCTTGTAGCTTGTTATGTAGTAAGTGTGCAATTTAGTTTATGATTTAACTAGATTGTGGAGCTTTTTGTGAATTGTTGAAATGGTTAAATTTTTCATGCCTTAGTTTGTTCAAATCTGATTCTCATCTAGTGTTTGAAAGGGTTAAGGTACCATTTAGGCATTCATATCATAAATTATTCTACCCCATTTCTATCCTTTCCACCCGAATCCATCTTTGTGTTCCTTTGAATACACTTTGAATTCTCTTCATATCCAAGACCTTTTGATTTTGGATCATATCAAACTGATCTTGCTGTGTAAATTTGTATGGTAAAGTCCGGGACAACCTCTAAATAAATTTGCTTCCGATTGTGCGCATGAAATCTGCATCATTTGGTAGAAATCTACATCAATTTGGTATCAGAGCTCTTGGTTCATTTACCTACAAAATAATTGACCTACTTGTTGTTCTTCATGTTCTAAATATTCAACTTTGAATAACCTACTAAGTTGCAAGTTGTTCTTAGCTCAATTCAGCTTCATAAAAAAAAACAAAAATAAAAATAAAAAAAAAATAAATAAATAATAAAAAAAACAGATTTGGGAAGTTTTTGAGCTATACAATCGATTGTATCCAAGTCAAGCACAATCGTTGTACAACCTTTCTGTCCAAGTCATTTTCTTTTTCATTTCCTTTCTTTTCCTTTGTTTCCCTTTCATCTTTTATTGTCAAGTTAAGGTATGTTAAATTCATTTTAGCTATTCTAATTGTTGCACATGATTGTTAAATTATATCTCTAATTTGTGCGCAATTAAATCTATAAACATTCTACTAGCTAGTTACCAATTTTGATTGCACAAGAAGTTGGAACCTGAAAGTTGAGAGAAAGAGAGGTTTTACCATCAACCCTCACTAAATATCTAGACCTTCCGAGTGATCATGGGTGAGTGAATTGGGAAGGGGAACTGAAATTGGGGGTGAGTTTAGCTTCTTAAATCTTTTTCTTTCTTTATTTTTCGGATACTACTTGTTCTTGTGTTTTTGTTGATCTTTAGTGAAGATGCCTCCTAAACCAACCAGTGGAAGGAATCAACAAGTAGAGGAGCCCGAAGCTGCCTCTAGCAATCCAGCCATGGATGATATACAAAGAACCTTGAACCAACTTGTTGGTAGCATGAGAGAGTTGTTTGATGCAAATAGAGAAATTAGAGAGGAGATGCACACTTTGAAGGAAGAAGTGCAAGTAAATAGACCCCGAGGAGGAAGAGATCATCAAGCCATTTTAGAGGAGGAAGATGAAGAAGAACTTGAACCACCTAGAAGGAGGAATCAAGATAGAAGGCGAGAAACCGAAGATGGCAAGATAAAACACCAACTTCCGGAGTTTCTTGGCAAGGCTGATCCGGATCTCTATTTGGAGTGGGAAACCAATGTAGACAAGGTGTTTTCTTTGCACAATTATTCGGAGCAATACAAGGTTGGAGCTGCCATTGCAGAGTTTAGACAAAATGCTAACACTTGGTGGCTAGATGTGATGAGAAGAAGGCGTAGAGATGGTGAAGGAGAAGTCACAACTTGGCGGGAGCTAAAGCGTTTGATGAGAGCTACTTATGTCCCAAAAACCTACCAAAAGAAGCTAAGAAGTGAACTCCAAGACTTAAGGCAAGGTACTCGTTCTTGTATGGAATTTTATTATGAACTAATTGCCTTACGTTCTAAGCTTCAGATTGATGAAAGTGATGATGCAATGGAGGCACGGTTTATAAGGGGTTTAAATAGGAATATTAGAGACCAAGCGGAGATTGAAGCAATGAAATGCAATTCATTAGAAGAAGTTGTTGCTTTTGCTGATTTGATTGAGAAACACTTGAAGGAGAAAGAGAGCCGTTCTAGGTTCACTCCGGGAGGCTCAACCAGCAAACCAACACCACCAAAGAAGCCAATGCCGAGTTCTTCCACCAGTCAACCCAAGATAGTTGTCAAGCCAACCGTGAATAACCTACCAAAGAAGGTGATCACTCCACCTCAAGGACAAGAAAGAAGAGTTCAGTGTTTCAAATGTAAAGGGTGGGGACATTATGCTAAAGATTGTGTGAATCAAAGGGTGATGCATTTTATTGAAGATGGAGAGATTTTTAGCGAAGATGAGGAATCTGCCTTAGAAGCCGAAAGGGAGCAATCTTCATTACCATTTATTGAGACCGAATATGTTACATATTCAAGCGATGAAGAAGGTGATTTTTCTGATCCTAAATCTCTTGTTATTATGCGTACTTTGAGCTCACATGATAGGATATTGGGAAGAACCATGAGGAGCAACGAACCAACTTGTTCCATATGAAGTGTAAACTGTTGGGGAAGACTTTTTTAGTCATTGTAGATGGTGGGAGTTGTACCAATGCTGTTAGTGAAGAGTTTGTCAAGAAAGTTGCTTTAACTACAACCAAGCACCCGAGACCTTATAGATTGCAATGGATTGGTGACAATGGAGAAGTTCGGGTGAAACTTCAAACCAAGGTACCTTTAAAAATTGGTCGACACCAAGATGAGGTAATTTGTGATGTTGTATCAATGAATGCTTGTCATGTTTTATTGGGAAGACCTTGGGAGTTTGATAGGAAAGCAATGCATGATGGTTACACTAACTCCTACACACTTTGTATTAATGGTTCTAAGTTTGTTATACCCCCTTTGAGCCCAAAAGCTATTCATGAAGCACATGTTCATATTGCAGCCAAAGAGGGAGAGAGAAAAGGCATGAAGGTGAGTTGAAAAAGCCAATAGAGTGTGGTGAGAATGAGAGAAAAACTGAGAAACAAAAGCCACAAACTAGTGAGAAAAGAGGCAGTTTGTTACTCGCCACAAAGAGTGATATTCAGGAGGTATTGGAAGGCCAACCACCCCTCATTCTTTTGATGTTATTTGGTTATTGCTTAACTAACACTAACAATGACAATGTGCCTAGTGTTATTAAGTCTGTTTTGCAGGAATTTGAAGATGTGTTTCCGGAAGAACTACCCCACGGATTACCACCTATCCGAGGCATTGAACACCAAATTGACTTTATTCTGGGAGCTTCAATTCCTAATAGGCCAGCCTACAAAGCCAACCCTATTGAGACAAAGGAACTTCAAAGGCAAGTTGATGAACTCCTTGCCAAAGGTTTGATTCGTGAGTCTATGTCTCCTTGTGCAGTACCCGTGATACTTGTCCCTAAAAAGGATGGTACATGGCGTATGTGTGTTGATTGTAGGGCTGTGAACAAGATCACTATCAAGTATAAGCATCCTATACCTAGACTTGATGACATGCTAGAACATTTGTGTGGTGCTTGTGTATTTTCTAAGATTGATTTGGCATCCGGTTACCACCAAATTAGAATGAAACTGGGTGATGAATGGAAAACAGCCTTCAAAACCAAATTTGGGTTATATGAGTGGCTAGTTATGCCATTTGGTTTGACCAATGCACCTTCTACATTTATGCGTTTAATGAATCATGTACTTAGAGCTTTCATTGGCAAGTTTGTTGTTGTCTATTTTGATGATATTCTGATTTTTAGTCGAAATGAAGATGAGCATGTCTATCATTTATCTTGTATATTTTCGACTTTGAGAGATCAAAAACTTTATGCTAAGCTTTCTAAGTGTACATTTTGTGTTGAAGAGGTTGTTTTTCTAGGCTTCATTGTAGGGAAAGATGGAGTTAAGGTTTATGATTAGAAAGTGAAGGCTATCCGAGAATGGCCAACCCCTACAAATGTGACGGAAGTCCGATCTTTCCATGGGCTTGCAAGCTTCTACGGTTTGTAAGTCATTTTTCTAGCATTGCTGCACCCCTGAATGTATTGACCAAGAAAAATGTGAAATTTCATTAGGGTGAAAAACAACAAGAAGCATTTGACACATTGAAGCATATTCTTACAAATGCACGCGTGCTTGCATTACCTAATTTTGATCTTACATTTGAACTTGAATGTGATAATAGTGGTGTAGGAATTGGTAGTGTCTTAATGCAAAACAATAGACCTATAGCATATTTTTCTGAAAGATTCAATTTTGCCCAAATAAATTATCCTACTTATGATAAAGAATTGTATGCTATCATTCGGTCTTTAGAACATTGGCAGCACTTCCTTCTTCCAAAGGAGTTTGTGATACATACGGATCATGAATCTATCAAGTACCTTAACGGGCAGCAAAAGTTGGACAAAAGACATGCCAAGTGGAGTACTTTCTTAGAAACATTTCCCTATGTTATCAAGTACAAGAAAGGTAAGGAAAATGTTGTTGCTGATGCACTCTCCCAAAGAAACCAAATCCTTGCTATTGTTGAAGGTAAGTTCTTCGGCTATGACTACTTGAAGGACTTGTATGAAAATGATCTTGATTTTGCTGAAATTTTCAAGAGTTGTAAACATGGAGCTTTTCAAAAGTTCTATTTGCATGAGGGTCTTTTATTTAAAGAAAATAGATTGTGTGTTCCTAAATGCTCATTGCGTGATACTTTTGTGCATGAATCTCATTGTGGTAGTCTTATGGGACGCTTTGGTATTTTAAAGACTTTGGACATTTTGTGTGAACATTTTTATTGGCCACGAATGAGAAAGGATGTTGAAAAATTCTGTTTGGCTTGTATTGAGTGTGGACAAGCTAAATCCAAGTCTAATAATTTTGGTTTATACACTCCATTACCCGCACCTTTACACCCGTGGATTGACATTTCTATGGATTTTGTGTTAGGGCTACCTACTTCCAAGTGAGGTAATGACAGCATTTTTGTAGTTGTTGATCGTTTTTCAAAGATGGCTCACTTTATTCCTTGCAAGAAAACTAATGATGCTAGGTACATTGCGGATCTATTCTTCAAGGAAGTGGTAAGATTGCATGGCATCCCGAAGACTATTGTAAGTGATCGAGATGTTAAGTTTTTGAGCTATTTTTGGAAGTCATTGTGGATTAAACTTGGTACACAATTGTTGTTTTCTACTACTGCACATCCACAAACTGACGGTCAAACTGAAGTTGTGAACAGGACTCTAGGTTCGCTACTTAGAGCATTGATTCGAGGGCACAAGAAGACTTGGGAGGAATGCCTTCCAATTGCTGAGTTTGCTTACAACCGTACAACACAACGCACAATTGAAATGTCACCATTTGAATGTGTTTATGGTTTTAATCCCTTAACCCCTTTAGACTTATCTTCCGTTTCTTTACCCAATTCGCAGGTACTTGAAATGGATGGAGCTAAACGTGCCAAGTACATTCAGAATCTTCATTCCAAGGTGCACGACATGATAGTACAGAAAAATGAGCACTATGCCCGTAATGCCAACAAGCACCGCAAGGAAAAGATTTTTCAACCAGGAGACTATGTTTGGGTTAACTTTAGGAAAATCAGATTTCCTACAAAAGTGAAGGGCAAACTTGATGCTCGTGGAGATGGACCATTCAAAGTTCTTCAACGACTGAATAACAATTCTTATGTTATTCATCTACCAGGTGAGTATAATGTTAGTTCCACTTTCAATGTTTCTGATTTGAGTGCCTTTGAATATGTAGATGACAATGAGGAGGAGGAACCAACGGATTCCTCTACTAAGAATCCTTTTCAAGAGGGAGGGGATGATGAGAATTTACAAACCTACATTCCCATCATTGACGAAAATAGCACACCTTCGAGTTCAAAGCCTTTTACAAGATCACAAGCTAGGAAGCTCAAGGCAAATGTGGCAACACTCCTCAACCTCACAATGCACCATGAAGAAGCAAAGATGGAGGCAACACCTCAATGGGTCAATTTCCTCCATTTCTGCCCAAGAAGAAGTTAACCAATTTTGAGCAGATTTAGGCCAATTCATATCACTCCTTTTTGGCCATCTTTTTCAACCATCTTTAAGGTATTTTGGAGCCTTACAATCTGGTCTAAATTCATTAAAATTTCGGCCAAACCCTCAACAATAAAAGGTGGCCAGATTTGAAGGGTAAAAGCAAGTCATGGTGTAATCCAAGTGGAGCCACTTTTGTTGACAACTCATGGTCCAACTTTGCAGCCATCTTTGACCATGTTTTGAAGACTTAAAGGTGAATAAATCCTAGGTAAATGATAGCTGTACCAGCTGCCCTAGTCAACTACAAAACAAGGAACCATCTTAGCATTACTTTTTATATTTTATTAAGCAAGTTGTCTAGTTCTTTTGTCCTTTAAACTCAAAAAAAAGAAACAACCATTTTGGGTAGTTTTTGAAGTCATTGTTCATGTATGAACCCTTGAGAGGAAGACCCTTTCAGAATTCCAAGCTTCTTCAAGTTTGGTAGCATAGCACGGCTTGTAGCTTGTTATGTAGTAAGTGTGCAATTTAGTTTATGATTTAACTAGATTGTGGAGCTTTTTGTGAATTGTTGAAATGGTTAAATTTTTCATGCCTTAGTTTGTTCAAATCTGATTCTCATCTAGTGTTTGAAAGGGTTAAGGTACCATTTAGGCATTCATATCATAAATTATTCTACCCCATTTCTATCCTTTCCACCCGAATCCATCTTTGTGTTCTTTTGAATACACTTTGAATTCTCTTCATATCCAAGACTTTTTGATTTTGGATCATATCAAACTGATCTTGTTGTGTAAATTTGTATGGAAAGTCCGGGACAACCTCTAAATAAATTTGCTTCCGATTGTGCGCTTGAAATCTACATCATTTGGTAGAAATCTACATCAATTTCCTTCCATAGAGAGCTGAAAGCTTGGCCCAACTATGCAGTAAGATATATAGAGCAAGGGCATCGTCGGTGTTGATCCCTCTCTGCATAATAACTGATCGGTTTTGATTTCATGAAATTAAGCAAAAGACAAAATAAAAAAAACCACAAAAACCCTAAAAATCAAAGGAGAGTAAGGGAAAGAGTTAAAAAGTATGAAGAGACACAAATTAATTCCTCGTTTCTTTAAAGATCCAAGTTAAAGATTATAAATCTTCCATAGTTGGAGCACCTAACCAAGCATTCTGCACCCTATTTCTCCCTAATTACAATAAGCCCAGAAATATATGTTTCGAACTATATAAAATGATACAATAGTTCTTTGCCCCAAATGTCCTATTTACAAATTTCAGGCACATATCAGAAATGGCAGGAGGTAATAGTTTAGGGGTTAAAATTGCGATTTATAAAACTATTTCAAGGATATCATTACATGAAATATTGGTGTGTAAGACTTGGTCAAGTGTATACACCAGAATCATATAAAGATATCAAAATAAGTCCAGTTAAATCTTCGCCGGTAGGTCTAATGTGCTCTTTCTCATCTGTGAGACTCGTGAAAGGTTTTTGTCACTCTACTGATTAGATTTTACTCTTCATATGAGATTCAGGTGTGATGTGGAGAACACCAGACTGTGTAAATTCTTGCTTCCAATTAGTCAATCGTCTACAAGTTCAACATCCTCCTCAAGCTCATAAACATAGATGACAAAAGAGAAAATCTAAACTTCATATTTTATCCTTTTTGGGTTGGTTTTACCTTTTTGTTTGTTTTTTTTTTTTAATTTTTTGGTTAGAAAAAGTTTATAGAGAGGTATTTTTAATTACAACAAGAATTCAAAGAAGAAGGAATTTCGAGGCACGTGAAAATACATTTTCCTTAAAACAAATTCACTCTCTCTCATCAAGTGCTAGAGGATGGAAAAACGTCTGTTTCCCAGGATACAAAGGATACATGATCTTGTCTGGCACTTAGACTAAATCATCGGCGAACTGGAACTAGAACTTTGATGA